ATTTAGGTATGTACATATCTATGTTTTGTTTGATGTAATTATTTACTTTATTGTAAAAATGTTCGCTCATTTAGTGTAAATATAAGCCACAAGTTATTCAAAAAAACCCGCTCAAATTTGACGAACATTTTTGCGCACACCTATGCAAAATGTCACGTGAGCTATCGATCTAACATTTTTATTAAAGCTTCACCTAAAAGTAAAAGTGGACCATTTTTAGATTTTTGTCATTCGGATTAAAGACGGCTGACTTATAGCAGAAAAACTATAGGGTGAAAAGACTTGCAGACACATAAGTATTGGTTAGGCCAAGCAAACTAGATTAGCAATTTCTAGCTCAAGTTTTCAAAATAATCATAAGGGTGGATGGTTGTTATTAATTATTCATTGTCAACTTTTCAGCACAAATTTACTAAATTTTATGAAATTATCCTAACTAAAGATTGTTTGGTGTCACGCGATAATAGCTTAAGCAATTGGCATAAATAATGATGCTTGATACAGCTGTACTGATTGCATGGGAGTGATGACAAGAAACTGTTAATCTATATTCTATGGTGTTGCTATAAAGGAAGCTATTAACACTGTTTTAAAGAATCTGATTGGTTCTGTGGAGTAAAAGTCTGTTACGAATAATATGGTTGCGACCCTAAAGCTAATACAGGTTACTATCGAGTGTCACTTTCTTATTTGTGTGTGTGTGTTGACAAAAAGTCATGATATCTAATCAAAAATACCTCAGGTGTGAATAAAAAGGTGCGGCCAAAAAAAAAAAAAGATTCAGCGTGCGACTCAAAGGAATGAAATCAAAATTGGCGGCCAAACTGGTAGCTACACTTATAGCATTGATAAGAATTTTACGGCAAATATTCATTCATTAAGTAGCCAGGCCGTCTTTTTTTTTTTAATTTGTTGTTGTTCAGTTTGGGGCATAATGGTAGGTAAAACAAAATACGCGGCCTAACTAAATAATGAATGAATATTTGCTGTAAAATTATTATCAGTGCTATGCTGTAACAGCTTGGCCATCAATTTTGATTTCATTTCTTTAAGTCTCATACTCAATCCTTTATTGGCCGCACCTTTTTTTTCACACTTAAGGTGTTTTTTTATTAGATTCTATAAGTTATTATAAATTAGAAGGTAAAAACGCATATTTTATATTTTTAGCATATTTTTGATGGCGGGAACTTTGTTGAATTTTGCGTAAAGCTACTCGAGAGCTATTATGAGAAACTACAAGAAAAGCAGCTAGTGAACACCATCCACCGCCAATTCTTATATCAACGAAAAGTGGAATTAATCGATAAATTATAACGCCTTCACAGCTAAAGGACGAGCGTGCTCGGTGACTGGGTTCGAGCTCACGACACATAGATTAGGAGTCGACTGCCCTAACCACAAGGACAACGGTTAGAGATAATCCCGAATTAGAAGAAAAAAATGACTTACAACTTACAATGCAAGTGTATTACGTGTGATAGTTGTTTTACTGTAGTTTTTGCGTTTTATACAACACCTTTATATTGTATTATTATGACGATATCGTTCTATGTTATCTAAGGCAAAATAGCATTAATACAGTGTAGCTGAACTATACCAAAGTCACATATACTTTATAGGTTTAATGTTCCCTTTCTATTTTTCAGAAAGTAGTCACTTTTAAACGCTGTACAATTAAGGATCGTGTGACTAGTTCACTCTACGTCGTACAGGTTTTATGTGCAAACCGACTTCCCCAGTTCAGTAAAAACAGCGAGGAATAAATTTGAGAGATGACATTTTGTAAAGAACCGCATCTTGAACGGAACCAATGCGATTATTACAATCGATGGCTACACAAAGACTGAAGATTGTGCCGGGATTTTGAATCCTTACTCAAAGAAGTACACGAGCATTTTAATTATGTGGCTATAAAAATTGTGCATACATTATAAGATCTTCAAAGAATTGTAGTCATGTTTCAAAAATAAATAAAAAAATCATTTCGTTTCTCTTCAGAAGCAAATTTCACGCTATTTCATTAATGGTTCGATGGAGTAGATGTAAAAGATTTGTTTGTTTGTTTGAATTTAAGCACAAAGCTACACAATGGGCTATCTGTGCACTGCCCACCACGGGTATCGAAACCCGGTTTCTAGCGTATTAAGTCCGCAGACATACCGCTGTGCCACTGGGGGGGGGGATATAAAAGAAGATAGGTTGGAAACACCTACATTCAAATACAAAAAAAAAAAGAAGAAAACGAATACAAACAAAAGAAATAAAAAACTAATAAACCCATTATACAAGACAAAACCATAGTACAAAAACAAGAAATAAAATAAAACGAACTCTAATAAAAACGGGGAATGAAAAGAGAAAATAAATACATTTCTTCCAGTCAGTTACAAAAATGTCAAAAAAAAAAGTCCTTAGCAAAAGAAAAAGATAGGGACCGGGAAGATAAGACCAGATTTTAGAATTACCCATTTGGGTGGAGCTTTTCTCAGATGTTAATATCTGAATTCCATCTTCTTGTAACTTCATTTAGTTAGTTTGTAGTTAAGCACAATGCGCTATCTTTACTTTACCCACCACAAGTATCGAAACCCGGTTTTTAGCGTTATGAACATACAGACTTATCTCTGTGCCAATGACGGGGACTTGCTTAGAGTACATATTTAGTCAAATATATTCAGGTATTTTCTTTTAAATTTTCGACAGATGTTCTGCATTATCGTTACCAAAATGCCGAATGGCCCTAAACATGTACTAATCCTCTTGTTCGTATAAAAATTGCATACGCCAACGGCTAGAAACTCGTCACTTGCCTATGAAATGCCAAGCTATATCATGGGATGAACAGATACTTGTACAAATTGGTGTAAGTTAGGTGTCTCTCTTTGTAAATGTTATTTGGAATAGTCGGCGACATATGCAGCACTGAGTTATAGTATATAGTAATTCTAACGCATTTTTGTCTGAATGTGGACGGTAAAACAGAATTATCTTTTTCTTGACCAATGCAGGCATTCAAAAGGAAGCTTCACTTCAGCAGCCAAACAGCCGACTAATAGGTGAAATGCTTAACAAAGTATATTATTTTCAGTGTGAATAATAATAATCTGTTCCTTTGCCTGTCATTCTTTGTGTTACTATCCGTATTCTGTTACTTTAAAAAAACATTATACAAAATACGTCAAATAAAACTATCTTCTGAAATAATATATATCTTACTTCAATTTTTTGTATGAATAAAGCACTTGCACTTTCGTAAGGTAGAAAGAATGCAGCTATATAAGAAAGATCATTTGTTAAAGCTGGTGATAACATGAGAGGTCTTGAATAACTTGGTTTCAGTGAAATCAGAAACCATAAATACTGATATCAAAACGTTTTTTATTCAGCAACAAGTGACCTTGTATATATATATTTATTTATACAGGAGATGTTTCAAACAGAATATCTACATGCAAATCGTGGGCTACTGTTACGAATCGGACATAAAATTTTATGAACACAAAGAACTGTTAACGGAATATAAAACATAATTTAATACTGCATTAATTTAGGGTAATGAATAAAACCAACAGATAAATAATTGTGTCACTTTGGAAATTCTGTTGTATTCCTTTACAGGTAAAACAAAACTCATTAGACACCATTTTCTAATCCACACAAACACGCACACACACATATATATATATATGCAGCTACCTTGCATATAAAAAAAAATAAATATGTATATAAAAGCTGACTTCAAATAATTCAGTCAGAAGATAACATTACATCAATGGAGAAAAAAAAACGACTTATTCCAGTATTTTATTAATATGGCTTGTTTTATTTCAAAAGTTTAACACATTCAAGATATAAAAACTCAAAGCCTCTACAGCTGTACTTAACTAATACCACTTGTTAAGATACGCATCATAGGCTTTCCAACATTCGTACTTAACGAATACCAACTTAGACACATGAACGAGGCAGTTGTATTTCTTTGAATTACGTTCATAGATAATATAAACTGTGTACTCACGATAATTAAAAATAGGTATTTCTGATGCTTTTAATCTTCTCTCTCATCCCTGTTAAATATTAGTGTGTATATTGATGACAATACAATTATGAATCAGCCTTGGCACCAATTACATATGGCTCTTTAAAAAAGGGTTCAAATTTTGCCTTGTACTACAAATTAGTAAAAGTTTACAAACAAAGGATGACGCTTTCAAAAAATATTTGTAGCTCAGGAGTGGGATGAAACATGATAAAAGCTGATTAATGGAGCAGAACAGGGTTTTACATAAGTATATTTTTAATTGTAATGAGTTGTTGTAAAGCCACTAATAAAAGACTTGCCTAAGGACAATGATAATGATTGTGGTCTAGTAATTTTACATTTACTGCAGAAAAAAATAAAAACACTCATAAATATTAAGCTTCACATTATCCGCCATGTAGAATTTTCCTTACATTTCTGATATTTACTTTTTTTTTTCAAACTAAAATACTGACAGCAGGAATATCCATGTTCATTCCTGATGTAAATTTATGGCAAAACGTTTATCTTTTACAAAATGTAGCGAGATGAATTATACAATTATCAAAGCTCCCCTGAACACACAACTTTTCACAACCACAATTCATACATATGTATATGCATGAATTTTTAACTCTACGAACTTTTCACCACACCAAAACTTACACTAAAATACCACTAACATTATAAACATAAATCAATGTAATATTTTTATTTCAAATTGTATGTTTTTGTTTTAAGATACTTTACTTTGAAAATGTAACCAAGTTTTGCATGCTTTCAAACGTCATATAACAACAAACAGCTGATTTCACTAATAAAGAATTTTGGTACCATAATATGAAAGTAAAAGCAGTACATTAGAAAATTTATTTCAATTATACAAAAATATTAGTTTTGATGCAATAAAGGTTGGGAGGCACACATGCACTGGTAAATACATAACCATCAAAATCTACTGAACAAATACTTCAATATATATAAAGCATAATACCTTTTCACATTCAAGAAACTTCCTATTTTTTCATAACTACTCCACTCAAACGATACACTTCTCTGTTTCATACAAAGACGTTGTGTTAAGCAACACACCACATAATAGAGTAATACAATTATATATATGTGTGGGTGTACATATGTATATACTTCTCCAAGAATTCGTTCATAATACTTACATGATCAAGATCATCAGTAAAAATTAAGCTTATAAATTACAATAACTGATAAGGTATTATATGTTTCTTATGATGTCAACCAAGAAAGTAATTACAACACCTAATCCATAAGTGAACTTTCTGATTACTGTAAATAGTTATTTTTACATTTCATTATTATGCAGATTTACAAACAGCTAAAAATATTTTCTAAGATCCAACACTTTAATTTAAGAATGTACATCCCTGAATGGTTAAGACAGAGACAAAAATAATGGAATCTGTTGAATATACTTTGTTCTTCTTTCATATGCATTTTACAAGGTATAGACAAGAATTAATAATCAACACAGTGATGTAATGAAATCTATAAATAGTGTGGAACTGGAAACGACCAAATATCCCTCATTGTTAATTTTTATGTCGGCAGAAATAATACACAAAACATGCGTTAGTTGAGCTGTTGATAAAAATTAACTTTTGGTACGATGTACTTACAACATGGGAAAATGTCTTGATACAAACATTGGGCTCTTCATACTTATATTCTAGCATGGTACAACCTATTCTGATTGTTAGCATTTATGTCTTTTTTTTAACCATTGTCAAAATTTCAATTTGATGGTATAAAATAAAATGTTTAATTAAAAAAACAGTAATTACATTACTAGCTTTTGGTGATTTTCTGACATTGTGTTCTTGACAATTCTTTATATCACTCTCAATTTTAGTAGTCTGATAAAAATTACAGGTTTGGTTTATTTCGAATTTCACGAAAAGCTACACGAGGACTATCTGCGCTAACCGTCCCTAATTTAGCAGTGAAAGACTAGAGGGAAGGCAGCTAGTCATCACCACCTACCACCAACTCTTTGGCTACTCTTTTACCAACGAATAGTGGGATTGACCGTAACATTATAACTCCCCCATGGCTGAAAAGGCGAGCATGTTTGGTGGGATGGGGATTCAAACCCGCAACCCTCAGATTGCGAGTCAAGAGCTCTAACCACCTGGCCATGCATAAATTACAGGAACTTTACTCGTTTAATTTATGTCGTCAAGATTACTTGGTATAATAAGAGTTCAGCAAGTCAACCTGGCCATGTTTAAAGCAAAATAACATATTATAATGAAAAACATATCAATCTGTAATGAAGCATAGTAACTTTTACAAAAAAGGTACTTTAGAAGTGTGTAAGAAAGAATCTAATGAAAAGTATGAACAGGACAACATCTGAGATTGTAGTAGTATGCAGAATTAAAAGCCAGGAGACACTGAAAGGTGAATCATCGATTCACGGCTAATACAGAAGTCTTTTTTATAATTTATATAATTAATTATAATGATATTAAGATTTACAAGAAAGTATTTAATTGTTGTTTCCTTCAGGTTGTATATAACCAATTCCATTTAATAAAGATATAAACAGAACATTGGAAAAAAAAAGAATTTTTTCAAAGTTTACAAATCTTTTTTTTTTTTGTAAAATATTTTATTTTGTATCTGTGTAAAAGGCCTTTATGCCTTAATTGTGATTACAATAATTCAACAACAATCAATACTTATTCTGAGTTGAACAAAATACAAGTAGATCCAGTGTAAGCCGAGGTTTACTATAAGTAATACATTCACTGGAGAGTTGCTTAATCTTACTGAGCATGAAATAATATACTTAAACAAGACAGATTTATATCACACCAATTTTGCTTGGTAAGCCCAACCTTGATTTGAGAAAAACTTTCAAACAAGACATGGATGCTGAACTAGGATAAATATGTATATAGAAACTTAAGATCTTTGTAAATATAACTCCATTTTCTCTTTATAGCAGTTAAATATTTTTAGAAAAAGATTTAGACTCTGTATTCATACAGTTGACAAGTATTAAAACACTTCACAATTTAATGGATGGTACAAGTATAAAAACACCATGATATAAGGACCCTTAAACTACTCTATGGTTAAAATACGCATTTAGTTTCTTCTTAAAATCCAACCATAGTTTCACCAAATAAAATAACTCACAACCCAAAATGTTAAGTCTTCCTATATATGACCTGAGACCTTGTGTTCGAACAAGAACCTTACCTTTTTTGCAAACACACACACAGTGACATGCTAAAACTTTGGTGAAAAGTTATGAATTGTATAATTTATTGATATACAACAGGTGACACGATGTCATGAGCTATGAACTGCTGGACTTTCGGTGTAATGCTTTATTGAATAAATATTCCTGAAATCAGCAGGTTGGGATGTAATGACATCCATACCAGTTGAAGTGACTGGTTGTTTTCCTGTGGTGGATCCGTCAAGTGGTCTAATGTGTACAGGAGGTACTTTCCCATTATTCATGTGAGTCAATGACCTATCCTCTCCACTAGTTCTTTCTAAACTTTTTGTACCTTCATGATAACATGCATTTTTACCTCCTTCTGCTCTTGCATATGAGAAATTTTGCTTTTCAGGAATTGTTTCATTGGTAGTAGCTGGACTAGGAACCTGTCGCCTTGATTCCCCAGACATAAGTCGCTGGAAAAAAGGGCTGGAAGACTGGTCCCTTTGGGTGGGAGAGTTCTCTTGTTCATCTAGGAAACGGTCCATGTAGTCCCTAACCAGCCAAGAGAAAAACTACATTTAAACTGCCTAGGCAACATTTAAGACAACAGGACAACTAAAACAATGAAATAATTTTATCACTATTCTAGATAAAATTATCAGTTTCATCTTGTAGAAAAACATGTATTATATTTTAATCTTTTCTCTCACTGCTTGATTAAAAAAAAGAACCTGTATGTTAATTAAAAGAAATCTTGTACCAATTTGTAAAACAAAGCAGTTTGAAGACGGTTTAATAAATGCAGTCACAATAAAAGGTGATTATAAAGAAAGTCTCGTACTTAATCCTTTTCAACCAAGAAAATACTTAGCTAAATTGCATGAAACTTGAACAAATTTTCTGTATAGTGTCTAGTTTCTACATGAGCAAATCTCCAAAATTTGATTTGGTAATTTTAGGTGTGTAATGATCAAATATTATTGTGAAACACTGTTTGAAAAAAACTACAATAAAAAACATTAAAAAATACTTCTTTTTTTTAATCTCAGACTTTCTTCTTTTATTTCAATTGATAAAAAATTTCATTCTGCACATCTAACATGTTTTAACTTGCTTGATATTAATGAATGTACATTATCTTGTCAACTTCTGGCTTTCAATTATACAAGAACTGCTTTAGTAGCATAGAGTTAGTTATTGGTGAATAACGATCTCATCTTTCAATAATTTTTGGTCAAGATCAACTTATATTTAAGAATTATTTGTTATTAAGCACAAAGCTCAACAATGGGCTATATTTGCTGTGCTCATCACAAATATGAAAATCCACTTTTTAATATTACGAGTCTTCACTTAATGCTGTGGGGCATTTAAAAATTATAGTTCATTTAAAAATAAATAAAAAATTGAAGTTCTGATATTCATATGTGTTTTTTGAATACAACAGCCATAAGAATATTTTCAATAAAATGCTTTGTTTTAGAGCACAGCCATATTGGGCTATCTGCTGTGTCCACCACAGGGAATCAAACCTCAGATTTTACCATTGTAAGTCCACAAACTGTGGGTTTGCGACTGCAGGCTTTAATATTTCCATATCTTAAAGTGATGTTAATAAGCCCTGGTTCTTCATTATAAATCCCATCTAGTTGGTCATATAACACAGTTGAAATTGTTTTGGTTTCTAAAGTTAACATCATTTAAGGCTTTAAATAAACAATCACATATACAACTTCAATTGATATTTATATTTTCTGCCTGTTGTTAGTTATTAATAATGTCCAATAATAACACTAGAAAATATAGAATTTATTACGTATGCCTAACTATTCAGGGCAAAGTTTTCTTCATTACCCATTTAAGCCGTCTCCAGCCATTATTAGTCTCAAAGTGGGTTCCTCGTCATCGAATTATTCAGGGATATATTTAAAATATAAAGCTATGTGAAGATCACACAGGTCATGATTTTTTTTTGACGGTCCTTGGTTCAAGCTCATAATGGTTGGGGGCTGTCTTAAAAGCCCTCAAAAGCCATAGAGGTTTTATGTTCATTCTATACTTTTGGCTTCCCCAAAGTCAGCCATTTAAAAGGAGAGTTCCGTCTAGTGTAAATATTGAAGCAAACAAGGCAATCTCAGATTGACCCTACTAGTACTAGTATTTTGTCTCTGGTCAAAGTAACTCACTCCAACATTTTTATCACCACAGATCTGAACACATTAGATGGATAATTTTACAGTACAAATGGCAGTCAATTCTTATTTATGAAAAATAATTTGTTCTAACAGCAGGAAGTTGTTGAAATGTAAGATTAACAGAAGAGAAGATTGCACACACTGAAACAAAATGTACATTATATTTATGGCCTCTTAGTTTGAATTGTTGTGCTTAAAAATATTATTAACAGTTAATTAATGTTTGGAAATAATATTACCAAAGCTAAAGTAAATACCATATTTTTCGATGTATAAGACACACTTTTTTACCCTAAAATTTGATGTCAAAATCTGCTTGCATCCTATACACTGAA